AAATCCTAATTTTCGAGAAAACCAAAATTTTCATTTACGGATTTTTCTCCAGGGAAAAATTGTTTTCTGTTTCAAACTTTTAGTTTAAAATTAAAAATTTATTTCTATTTAATAACCTTTGTTTCACAATTTTTCCAAAATCAATTTTTAATTTTCTCGCTTAGAAAACTTAATTTTTGGAAAAATCCGAAATTTGGATTTTCTTCTAAAAGGCAAAATTTTTTCTTAACTCCAACTTTAGGAACCAAATTAAAATTCCATTTCTATTTTATTTTGTTTAGAAATTATTTCCAAATAACTTTTTTTTTCAAAAACACAATTTTTTGACTAAATCTGAATTTTTTTTTATTTGTTTTTCATTAGGGAAATAAATAATTTTTTGTCTCAAGCTGTCCATTTCAAATTAGACAATTTATCTCTAATTTTCTTTCCGAATTCTTTGAAACTAACTTTTAATTTTTTTTTCAAAAACCCAATTTTTCGAAAGGTCCGAATTCGGATTTTCTTTTGAAACACTAAATTTGTTCTTGATCCAATCTTTCAGCATCGAATTAAAATTTTATTTTCACTTAATTTTGTTTGAAAATTTTGCCTTGAAACTAGTTTTCTTTTACCAAAAAACACCATTTTTTTTTGAGAAAATCCGAATTTTGATTTTTCTTTTGTAATTCAAAATTACCAGTGCTAACCTTTTTAATTTACAGCATCAACTTGTTTCCATCGAACGACTTCTAGTTATCCCTGCAATCTTCATTGAATTTTTCACCACAAAAAGCAAAAAAAAAAAAAAATAATTTTTACACTTTTCAAAATTACGCAAAAAAAATTTTTTTAAATTAACTAACGGCTATTTTTGAATTTAAAACACTTTTACACACACCCACACAAATTATTATCCAACAGGAGAAAAATTAAACATTTGGAAAAAAATTCAGGAAAATTTAACATTTTTCGAAAAAAACAAAAAGTCCACGAAAAATATTTAGCGAAAGTATTATTTTTTTTAAATACGAAATAAAATTTTAATTAACATTTCTAAAGAAGAATTAAAACAGATCTAAGGAAGAAATTTTTTTCTACAAATAAAATATTTTTAATTTTCAATTTTTAATGTTCATAAATTTTAATTTTGAAAAATTTTTATTCATTACATTTCTGTGACAATATAAGAAAAAGAAAATTTTTTAAACAAATAATGAATAAAAAAAATCGAAAATACTACCTAATAAAATTCTTCGTAAGAAATAATAATAAAAATTTCATTTTTGAAAAAAGTTTCACAAGAAAATTTGACACGTCTTAATAACTCGACTTCCGAATTTAAACTGACTGGAGAAGGGAAAATAAATTCCTGAAAAATTTGATAATCCTGCTTGTTACGACCTGTTTATGTGAAAACTGATTGTCTCTATACCTGAACGCATTTCCCGGAATGTAAACAAAATATTAACCGGAGAACCAAAGGACCTTTGTTTTGACCTTCAATTCGATGAGTTTCCTTTATTCTACCAATACATGCAAATAATGTATATTTAGATAAAATATCCATTTTATTTTATTATTAAATCAATAATTTCTATTAACTAAATTTAAATTCGTAGTTATTTAAAAATTTTAATAATAATTAAATATTAATTTATTTATAATAATTAATTGTTAGTTTGTTTATAATAATTAATTATTAATTTATTATTAATTATTACTGTTTATTATTAAAAATTCATAATTAATTAACAATAAACTTATTAATAACAATTAATTATTAATTATATTTCATAATAATTAATTATTAATGTATTTACAACAATTAATTATAAATTTATTATTTAAAATTAATAATTAATTATTCATATATTTAATATTAATTAATTATTCATATATTTAATATCAATTAATTATTCATATATTTAATAATAATTAATTATTAATTTGTTTATAATAATTAATTAAAAGTTCATTAGAAATTATTGTACACTTAATAACAATTCTCAATAAATTAATAACAATTTGTTAGATATTTAGTAACAAAATGTATTAATGATTTAATAACTATTCTAGTTTTTTGAAATTTTTACTAATTTAATAACAATTATTACTTACTTAGTAACAATTGTTAATAATTTAGAAACAATTGTATGTAATTTTTTAAAAACAATTTTTATAATTAATTTTTGTAAACAATTTAAAATAAATTAGTAACAATTGTTACTAAAAGAATTTAAATTACTTACTTAGTAACAATTGTTAATAATTTAGAAATAATTGTTTTTTTTTATAACCAATTTTTACAAACAATTTAAAATAAATTAGTAACAATTGTGACTAATAGAATTTAAATTACTTACTTAGTAACAATTGCTAATAATTTAGAAACAATTGTAACTTTTTAAAAACATTTTGTAAAAACAATTTTTATAACCAATTTTTATAAACAATTTAAAATAAATTAGTAACAATTATTACTAATAGAATTTAAATTACTATCACTTTGATATTGTAACTAATTAACGACTGTAATTTATTTATTAATTATTTAATTTATTTATTAAATATTATTAACAAATTAACAGATATTAACAATTTTGTAATAAATATTACTACTTTTATAATAATTATTAATTATTTATTAACAAATGTTAATAATTTAATAACAATTATATTTTTTTAATAACAAATTCTGAAAACTATTTAAAATAATTAAATAACAATTGCTGTCAAATTAATAACAATTGTTTCTAAAAAAAAATTAAATTACTAATACTTTGATATTATTATTAATTAACTTATTTTGTTTATTGACAATTTTTAGTAATTTATTTAGCAAATATTAACAAATTTATAATAAACATTATTATTTTTATAACAATATTTTTTAAAACAATTTAAAATAATTGCGCAGAAGCGTCCTTCGTACTTTAGACGTGCGCAGAAGCGTAAGGATTACTTTAGACATGCGCAGAAGCGTACAGATTACTTTAGACATGCGCAGAAGCGTACAGATTACTTTAGACATGCGCAGAAGCGTACAGGTTACTTTAGACATGCGCAGAAGCGTACAGATTACTTTAGACATGCGCAGAAGCGTACAGATTACTTTAGACATGCGCAGAAGCGTACAGGTTACTTTAGACATGCGCAGAAGCGTCCTTCGTACTTTAGACGTGCGCAGAAGCGTCCTACCTACTTTAGAGATGCGCAGAAGCATACAATTTACTTTAGACATGCGCAGAAGCGTCCTACCTACTTTAGAGATGCGTAGAAGCATAAAATTTACTTAAGACATACGCAGAAGCGTTGTATCAACATCAGACATGCACAGAAGTATCCCGTTGACTATAAGAACGCCTAAAAAACAATTTCCCTCCATTTTTAGCCTACGAAATACTGCCAATTGTCACATTAACCTACTAATTAATCTCCCTATCCCCAAAAATGGTAAAAAAAAACCATTCTTCTTCTTCCCTCCGCCACATTAAATTAAAACAATATCACTAATTTTACAACCATCCGAATTTAAGTGCTCTGAAATTTATACAATCCCAAAAATTTTAGTCTCGATAAATAGAGAGAAGAATCCCTTGAAACCATTTTCACTGATTTATATGAAATCAAAAATATTCTCCCAATATTTGTATAACAATGAAAAATTGATTTCTAACATCATTTCTTTCTCTCTCTCTCTCTCTCTCTCTCTCTCTCTCTTTCGCACTCATAAGTGTCTATATCAATAAAGTGGAAAAATTGACTTTTACTGGCTCGTATCGGAACGTATCAATAAAACGTGGGTGTCGGTGATGGGCCAATATCGCATAAGTGGCACAATTCGCCCTCATTTGTTACTACGTTTTGTTCAGCCTAAGTAATTTAACCGTTCGTTCGATTTTCCCCCACCCCCCTTCAAATTGAGAACTCTCTCTCAATTTGAAGAGGAAAGGGGGGGGGATCGAATGAGATGCCTTCAAATCGAGAAGAATAAAGAAGAGAGAGAAACTGAGAGAGAAAGAGAGAGAGAGAGAGAGAGAGAGAGAGAGAGAGAGAGATATGCCTTCAAATTGAGAAGAATAAAAGAGTGAGAAAGAGAGGGAAAGAGTGGCGACAAGGGGGAGGGGAGCGGTGAATGATAGGGGATGGAATAAGTTGGAAAGCTTGACTCCTCTATTCTTCAGGGCAAATCGTGGCATATTTGTCAGATTTTTGTTCGCGAACAAAACCTTGCCTAGCAGTGAGAAAAGGAAGAGGCAGAAAAGAGGGTGAGGGGGGTGAGAGAGGGGGGAGGGGGAAAGTGAAGAGACGATGCTTAAGTGGATTGCTTTCGTTCAAACGGGGCTCTTTTGAGGTTATAACTAATATACAGACGTTAATTCCGAACATCATGTCAGAGATCGACGTGTCACATTTATTCCTTTCAAGCAAAAAAAAAGGAAAAGGGAAAAAAATAACCCCTCCTCCCTCTTCTTTTTTTTTCTATCATTTTCATTGGAAAAAATTTTCGAAAATCTCTACTTTTCCTCCTTTTTTCCTATTATTAAAAAAATGGTTTTTTTTTCTTTTTTGTATTTTTTTAAATATAAAAATTAAGACTTCTTCCCACCCCCCCCCCCCTTCTTTTTTCTATCTTTTTCATTTTGGAAAAATTTTTCGAAAAATTCTACTTTTACTTAACTTTCATTTTTCTATTTTGAAAAAAAAAATGTTTTATTTCTCTTTTTTGTATTTTTTAATATAAAAATCAAACTCCCCCCTCCCTTTTTTTTTACTTTTCTCAAATATACAAAAAAATTTTCTTCTTTTTAATTTTTTTTGCATATTTTTAAAAATTTTTTTAAAAAGACTAGAATATTTAATATTTTCTTCTTGAGTAGAATTTTTAGATTAAATTTTTTTTTTTTAATTAAAATTTTTGTATATTTATTTCTCTTTTTTTGTACTTTGAATTTTTTTTTGAAAAATCAAAATTATAAATTATTATTATTGTTATTATATATGTAAATGACAATTACCTTTGAAACCCTTTTCCGGCGATGTTGATTCATTTCCAGGTTCTGAATTATCATCTTCAATATCAACTGGAACGTCAATCTGTAATCAGAAAAATATAAAAAAAAAATTATTTAAATTTAAATTATAAACAGAATTAAATAATTGCACTTTAAATTGAATGAAAATTAGTAAGTATAGTAATTTAGTAAATTACTATTTACTCTCTAAATTTTAGATAGTAAAAATGTTTACTAATTTGAATTAGTAACTACGACTTTTTACTTTTAAATTATGAAATTTTACTAATAAATAGTAATTTCTACTAATTTAATAGTAAAATTAAAATTTTATTTTTCAATTAGTAAATTTTACTAATAAATAGTAATTTTCTACTAATTTATTCGTAAAATTTACTTTTGGAATATAAAGTTGACTTTTTGTTCTGAATTAGTAAATTTTAATAATAAATAGTAATTTCTTCTAATTTATTACTAACATTGATATTTTGCAGCTGAATTGGTAAATTTTACTAATAAATAGTAATTTGCCACTAATTTATTCGTAAAATTTACTTTTTGAACTTAAAATTGATCTTTTGCTTCTGAATTAATAAATTTGACTAATAAATAATAATTTCTACTAATTTATTACTAAATTTGATTTTTGTAATTTTATAATTTACACTTTGCATCTAAATTTGTAAATATTAGTAATAAATAGTAATTTCTACTAATTTATTAGTAAAATTAACATTTTGTTTTTAATTAGTAAATTTTACAAATAAATAGTAATTTTCTACTAATTTATTAGTAAAATTTACTTTTTGAATTTAAAATTGACATTTTGCTTCAGAATTAGTAAATTTTACTAATAATTAGTAGGTAATTTCTACTAATTTATGACTATTATTATTATTACTTATTTCTATCAGTATTTTATCAGTAAAATACACTTTTTGAATTTAAATTTGACTTTTTGCATCTGAATTAGTAAATTTTACTAATAGATAGTAATTTCTACTAATTTATTACTAAAACTGATATTTTGCATGTGAATTGGTAAATTTTACTAATGAATAGTAATTTTTTACTAATTTATTCGTAAAATTTACTTTTTGAATTTAAAATTGACTTTTTGCTTCTGAATTAGTAAATTTTACTAATAAATAGTAATTTTCTACTAATTTATTCGTAAAATTTACTTTTTGAATTTAAAATTGACCATTTGCTTCTGAATTAGTACATTTTTCTAATGGACTGTAATTTCTACTAATTTACATATTACTAAAATTGACTTTTTGCTTTTAAATTAGTAAATATCAGTAATAAAATATTAATTTTTAATAAATTATTAGTAAAATTTACTAATTCAAAAGCAAATCGTCAGTTAGTTATTAAAATTATTAAACATATTTGCTAATAAAAATTTAAAAAATACTGAATAATATTAAAAAATTAATTAAATAATTTACTAATATATATTAGTAAATATACTAATTAGTAAATAGCAAATAAATAAAAATTGATAAATAGTAATTTAGTAAATTCCTTATTTTAGTGAAATACTAATTAGCAAATAGAAAATAAAAAATAGAAATTTAGTAAATTACAAATTAGTAAATTACTATTTTTTAGTAAATTACAAATTAGTAAATTACTATTTTTTTAGTAAATTACAAATTATTAAATTACTATTTTTAGTAAATTAAATTTAGTAAATTACTAATTTTCGTAAATTACTAAATTACAAATTAGCCAGTAGCAAATAAAAAAATTCAAGATAGTATAAATACTAATTTTCGTAAATTACTAATTAATAAATAGTAAATAAAAAAAATAAATATTAAAAAATTATATTTTTAAATAGGAAAAAAAAAGAAAAAAAAGAGATCTTGTTTAGGTACAGAGATATATGTACAGGGAGAGAGAGGGGGGAGGGGGGCTTGCAGCGCAAAACTCTTTTTGAAATGCAGGGCAATATAGTGAGTTCGTTATGAGGCTCGCCTTCGACATGGTATGGCTCGTAATTGTAGACTCTCGGGCAACTTGGAACGCTTCTACCTTCGAGGCATTTTTGCCAGTTTCTCTTCTTCTTCAATCTTCTTCTTCTTATTCTTCAACTAACACCTATTGACCACAAGAAAAATCCCCTCATCGATTCCCCAACACTTTTTAAATATATTCTAATTGCAAAAATTTTTTTAAATAAAAATAAAATTTATTCACCATAAATTTTACCACAATTCTTTTTTCTTCATAATTATGTAAATTATTAAATTTTTTAATTATTATTATTTTATTATTTAGCATTATAATAATTATTTTTATACTATTTAATATATTTTTATTATTATTATTTTTATATTATTTAATATATTTAATTATTATTTATTATTATTATTTTTATTATTATTATTATTATTATTATTATTATTATTATTATTATTATTATTATTATTTTCAATTAATAATTAGTTATTTTTACAAAAATAATTAATTATTTTTTTACCAATTGCTGAAACAAAAAGTCTGCTAATATTTCTCTGAAAATTAATTATTTTTAACTAATAAATTAATTTTCTAATCAAAATGACTTATATTCTATACTAATAATAATTTTTAACTAATTCAAATTCAAAATCAGCACAAAAAATATAATATATCGAAACAATAGTAAAAAAAAAATACAATCGAGAGGAAAATTTCCCAAGTCATAGGGACAATATTTTTTAGGTCTGAGAAGCTAAAAATTATTACTTCGAGAATGTCTTAATTCTGAGCAGTGAGACGCCTTAACATAAAAAATTTTTTATTTCTCCTTCCCCCTCCCCTCGTTCTTACCAGTACATATACACCTATACAGAAATCACCGTTGTTTCAATAATTCAATAACGTTAAAAAAAATTTTTTTTTATTTTAAATTAATTAGTAAATTAATTATTAATTAGTCAAAATTCAGATTCAATCACTAGAAACATTAGGTCCAAAGAATAATAGACAAAAGTTTTTAATTTATGGTCAAAACTTGCAAATTAAAAGGCAAAATAAAAATTTACTATGTTAGGTCAATAGTAGATTATTGTAGAAAAATTGCAGGTCAAGAGGTCAATTTTAGGTCAAAACAAAATAAAGTAACAAAATCGAAAATTTAAAATAAATAACAAAACTTTTGAATTTAGGTCAAAAGTTGCAAAAAATTAGGTCACATTTAGGTCAAATTTTAAGAATTTAGAACTTTTCTGAATTTTTGAATTTAGGTCGAATCAAAAGTCGAAAATTAAAAAACGAACTTTTGAATTTTTTAGATAAAATCCAAAAGTCGAAAATTGAGAGACGAACACTTTTAATTTAGGTCAAAAGTGAGAAATTGAAAGACAAACATTTTAAATTTGCAGGTCTTGATCTGCATAACAAATTTTTTTTAAATTTTTTTAAAATTTTAAATTTAGAACAAGAGTATAAAAAAAAGTCAAAAAATCATAAAAACAAAAATGATAAATTGAAAAATGATACTTTAAAAAAAATAGGTCAAAAATTAAAATGACAAAAATCTAAGAGGTCAAAATTGTTGATTTTTAAAAATGCAGCTGAGAAAATTGATGAGAAATATTGAAAAGTATTTTATTTTTCTTCCTTCGTATTCTCTATTGGCAAATTGGTCAATTCTCTGGGACATTTGAAGGCAATCGTAACGCTCAAAAATCACCTTCCTCTGCATCATCATCATCATTATCAGTTTTGTAATTTTCTTTCTTCTTTATTATGAGAAAGTTTTTGGACTCAACGAAATTGAGACATTACCCAGGCCCTTGGGTTTTTAAACATGAATTTCTCGATGGGTTTTCTTCGACCTTTTTTTCTCTCTTCCTCTCGGCAGGAGGGGGGAGGGGATTTAAAAAATTATAACGTATTTCTACAAATAAAAATAAAAAAAAATTTTCAAAAATTATTATTTTGTTATTTTATATTTTTGATTGCAAAAAATTGATTTCAAAAATTGATTTTTAAAATTGATTTCAAAAAATTTTAAATATTACGAAATTGACCTAAAATTTAAGAAAATGAAAATATTAAAAAGTAGAGAAAATTGAAAAGATTTTTTCTCTCAAAACCATAAAATAAGTAAAATCTGAACAATAAGTTTAAGAAACAAAAAGTAATATAAAGAAAGAAAAAGGTTTTAAAATAAAAAAAAAATTTTTTAAAAGTAAGAAAAAAAATTAGAAAAAAGTAACGAAAGGAAATATTGAAAGTTTATTTCATATAAACGAATATAGACTGCGCGTATGTGACAAGATAAATTTTTTTTTCTTACCCTTCTCTCTCTCTCATTAAAAAAAGAAAAAAAATAAAAGTTTTAAATTCCATTCGCGAGATAAATCAAATTCTCTCTCGAGGAAAGAATTCACCGCTTATGGACCGCACATATGCAGATGTTTCATTCATCAGGACACATATGTACGTATGTATGCATCACTGGATGATTCTTTCTCTAATTTTAGAACTATGAGAAAAAAATCTTCTTCATTTTTTTTTTCATTAATTTCTCTCGAGGATAATAATAATAATTAATAATTATTACTTGAAAAAAATTATTATTATTATTATTAATTTAAAAAAGATTTCACTATAATTGACCTAAACCCAAAAGAAACCAATACTTGAAAATATTCAGAACCTCAAGTATACCAAAAGTTAAAAATAGTTTGAACCTATAAGCAGAAAAGTCAATTTTTTATTGACCTTAACCTAAAAATTTAAACCTGAAATCCTGATCAAATTTGTTAATTGACCTAAACCCAAAAGAAACCAATACTGAAAAATATTTGGAAACTAAAAGAAACCAAAAGTTAAAAATAATTTGAACCTATAATCGGAAAAGTCAATTTTTTATTGACCTGAACCTAAAAATTTAAACCTGAAATCCTGACCAAATTTGTTAATTGACCTAAACCCAAAAGAAACCAATACTGAAAAATATTCGGAAACTAAAAGAAACCAAAAGTTAAAAATAATTTGAACCTATAAGCGGAAAAGTCAATTTTTTATTGACCTGAACCTAAAACTTCGAACCTGAAATACTGACCAAATCTGTTAATT